TTTGTTCTCCTACACTGTAATCATCATAATCGTCTGATTACAAAGACTTATTCAGCACTCCCATAAGAACCCTCCCCATCTGTCTGCTTAAAGTGTACGTGTGCATGTACTTCCGTTCATTCCAACACAGATTTTATTAGTGGCTTTAAACCCTCTTTACGTGTTACAGTAAGTTCCGTTTTGATCAAAAATGGTAGTAATAGCGTTCGATCTGCTTCCTCCGCTAGACTTCACATGGCTAGAGCCTCATGAGAGCAGAGCGAGAGAGACAGATAAAAGAAGCGTTCATCACCGCCACTGTTAACTAACAGACTATTAATTATGTTTGCGTGTGAAGAGGTTGCCTCCAGTCTGCAAAGTCACCGCCGCCTCCAATTGGCACTCACTCTGGCACGACATCCAATCAGCAGGCAGCCTGCCAGAGACCGACAGGGATTTAACTCGCACACCCCTCCCACATCACTTAGTCATGCCGGGCGTTTCCGCATCAGCCAATTAGTAACCCATTACCAAAGCAACACAGAGTATACACGCTAACGAGCATTTGATGGTAATATTTAACTTCTATTTCATCAATGTCAGGATGTGAGCGACATTCTTTCTGTCTGTCTCCCTCCTGTCTGCTTCCCACAAAGTCTTTAACCTGTCTGGTCATTTCGTGAGCTCCTTCTATCCTTCTTCATTTCTTCATCTGTCCACTCTCATCCTTCACTCTTTCATTTTTCAGCCATGCTTCTGTTCCTATCCATTCCCGTCTTCATCTTCGTTTGACTCCTCTTCTACCCTGTACGGTCTATCGGTTCTCTTTCATCCCGTGTTCATCCGTTCCAACTCCTCTTTTTTATCTGTCTCCTTTTAGCTGCGTCTCTCCTTTCTCTTTCTCTCTGTCTAACCGCATCTTGTTTTCCAGTGGCCCTCCCCTACCTGCGCGCTCCTCTGTTGAATGCCGAATGTTCTTTTCAGGCTCAAAGGTCATTGAAAGGTCATGGTCAGCGTTTAGATTCTGGGAAGTAAAAGCTGAAAGGGAGCCGTGCTCTCTGGAGAGAGAGAGAGAGAGAGAGAGATTGTGTCAGTGCTAGAGCACTGAATAAGATGTATGCAGGGCAATTCAAGCACGATCTTGTCTAACTCCAGTATTAGTTTCCTACTAATCCCTCCTCTTATCTATCTATATATCTATCTATCTATCTATCTATCTATCTGTATACAAATATTATTAAACAACATAGAACCAACAAAAGCAACAACAATGAAAATAAAACCAGTGGCAGACTGGCCATCTGGAGCACCGGGAGTTTTCCCGGTGGGCCGCTGTACAATGTGGGCCGGCCCATTGCGTAAATATAAAGAATGGATTATAGTAAATGTAGGCTACATTGCCTATACTCCAGACTGAATGGTGATGTAAAACATTTTCCACAAAAATATAATGCAGCACAACTTTTTCAACATTGATAATAATCAGAAATGTTTCTTGAGCAGCAAATCAGCATATTAGAATGATTGAAGACTGGAGTAATGATGCTGACAATTCAGCTTTGATCACAGAATATATAACTATATATTTGCACAGAAAACAGCTATTCTAAATTGTAGATGTATATATTTCACATATTACAATTTACTGTATTTTTCATCATCATAACATTTTTCATAAAAAAAAATCTTGTCAAGCAATTGAAAGGCACAATAAAAACAGCCAACATTCTGCACTACATTCCAAGTCTTCTAGAGCAGAGCAGAGTATGGACTGGTATTATGGTAGGCATTTAACTTTAGTGATATTAAACTGTCCCTCTATGTAAAAGAGATGTGTAAAAATATTATTTACAAATTGCCATATAGCCTACATCAGGAAAGACAAATTATGATGTAAAGAAGTATGACGGTCATTCATTAATGTTTAGGGTTGGGTACCGAAACCCGGTACCAATATGGCACCGGTACCTATGTAACCGGTATGTACTAGAACCGAATCCAAACGCAGATTTCGGTGCCATGCCTGAGCGATCGATTGAAATATTTGTCCTCAGGTTCTCCGAAACGGACGTAAGAAGCATCATCACTGGCACCACACGTGAAAAATAATAATTTCCCGACTGAGAAAATGCACGTGAACTCAAGTCGGAAAACTAATAATACAAATCCAACACATCTTTGTAGTAACGAGAGTATCCATGTTGTTTTCAGATTCCGACTTAAAAGCACAATTCGGGAAATGAGAGCATCCAAGGAGCTCTCATTATGCAGTAATTACTCTTGATCTGAGGGCTTCAGGTAGCCTTCCATTAACTAAGCTAAACATGCTTAAATTAAAATGCCTAAAGCTAAACCTCCCTTGTATTCACATTTCTAAACCTGTTGTCCAACAAAAGAGCATTAACAACATTATAACATTATAACCTTTTTACTCCACACCAGTCAAATGCTTCCTTTTGTGATCTGATGAGGCTTCTTGTCACAGAATGAGGCAGAAAATATGTTCCATATGCTACTTTAAAAAGTAATTGCTAATACATCGATTAGCAATAGATTATAAATTAGGGTGACCATACGTCCTCTTTTCCCCGGACATGTCCTCTTTTTGGACCTACAAAAATGCGTCCGGCCGGGATTTCTTAATTGCCCAAAATGTTCGGGATTCGGCTGTTTTCTAATATTGTATATAATTTTGGTGCATCAGGGAGCCGCTCTCAGGATGCGGTGTTTAAATATTTTTGAATGAGTGTTTGCGCTGTTTACTTTCACTTTCGATTTCGCAATCACACGCACTCTGTGTAAAGGGAGCACATCTTACAAGATCAGATATTTGTCAATCAGCTCAGGATCTGTTGAGAGTATACTCCAGTATACAGACCATCTGTGTGTTTATGAGTCTTTTTCTGTTCTATTGAATTGTTTTATTTTTATTTAAAAATGACCCTCTAACACTAGCATTCCCTATTCTTTTTCTAATCTTCCTACTTGTTTTATTTTTATTTTTTATAAAAACAAAATAAGCAAAAAAAAAAACCTTGCTACGAACCTTGCCCGCCCACGAACCCCGCCAATCCATCATTTTTGGGGGGAATTTTTTTTTATTTTTTTTTTTTATATAAGTATCGGTTCAGGCACCGTTTAGGCACCGGTACCGTTTTAAAAGTATTGATTTGGCAATGTTATCGTAAAAAACCCAAATGATACCCAACCCTATTGACAGCATCACTTATTTAGTTAAACCAGTTCCCCTCCGAATTCTGTGCCTAATAGTCTACATTGTATGAGAAACCTGAGTGATGGTGGTGAATGGTGGTGAAGAATTGTGATGCACACGAGCCCTCTCTGGGACTTAATGTTGTCATTATCACAGCTTGTAGAGAAATCCTCCCAATCTGCTGGGGCTAAGAAGATGATGTTAGAGTAATGTGCAGAAAGAATGCCTTTAAACTGCATGTTTTAAGCACTGGGCCATTTATAAGTATCGGTTCAGGCACCGTTTAGGCACCGGAACCGTTTTAAAAGTATCGATTTGTCACCGGCATCGAAAAAAAACCAAACGATACCCAACCTTAGTGTGTTAGCGTTCTCTCAGCTACAGCCACGCTGTATGTACATAGACGCTGTGGTTGTATTTTTGCGAGGAAAGGTACCGTACCACCAAAGGTTCATTAATCCTTGGAATATTGTCGTGTGTGTATGTCAGTCCTGAAATGTTCAGCTTCCCCTCTGTGCTCGCAGATGCCCTTCACTGTTGGATGGTGAGGGTATTTACTCATCCCATCATGCCAATAGGCCCAGAAGGGGGCGGCTTCACTGCCAGCTCACTTCCTCCCCCACACACCAACCTGCCACGGTTTAGCGAGGATCCAGTCTCTTTATCTTTGAGATATTTCTTTCTCTCGCTTACTTGGGCCAAACACACTCCTGTTTTCTTAAGGCCTTTGTGAATCTGTCATGTATTGAGACATCTGTGTTGTGGCTGTAATTACACATTACGCACTGGCAGTTACTTTACAACCTACAAAAAGTACCAACAATTTGTCTGAACCACAGACTAGTGGTTAGCACACAAGCTCCAGGCACATTTAATGGAGAGATTTTGGTTCGTATCCTGCCCGTTTCATGTCCCGACACTGGGGACATATAAAAACAAACTATATATATAAGCTAGGATGCCTTTCTGTGTGGAGTTAAAACCCCGCAGAGTTAAGCTCAAACATAACCCAACACACCTGCCTGAAAGATTCTAGTAACCCCGAAGAACTTGATTAGCTGCTTCAGGTTTGTTTAATTGGGGTTGGAACTAAACTCTGCAGGACAGGATTGGACACCCGTGTTAATTGGTGGTTTTCAGACAACATGATCTTAATCAGCTTTGCTGATATATTGATCTGTTTTCTTCATCTGACTACTTTCATTATAAATAAAAAGACATGAAAAAAAAATCTCAAATAATACAATAAAAAAAGCTATTCAACAAAGTGGTTTGTACATGTTTACAAGCATGCTGTTTGGTTTGAATGATGCAGCTGTAATTTCTTTCTTTAAATTCTCGCTAGTGATTGATACCCTATTATTCTTTTGCACTCCAGATAACAAAGGAACTGAAGCAGTATGATAATAAAATAATTGAGTGCACGTTCGTCAATAACACCTGGGTGTTCATGCGACAGAGGACGGACAAGAGCTTCCCCAACTCATATGACACAGCCATGGGTAAGGATTCACATGTGCTATACTAAAGCCAGGGTCGGTATTAGATTCCGTTTAGTTGACTAGATGAAAAGCAAACTCCTAAGGCTAAAAGCATTTTTACATGTATTTTCATTGTGCATAACATTACCTTAAAGCAGGGCTGGGCAACTCTGGCCTTTGAGATCCAAACCTGATCAAACTCACCTGCCTGGAACTTTTCTTCATCTGACTACTTTCTTTAAAAAAAAGAAAAAAAGCTATTCAGCAAAGTGGTTTGTACATGTTTACAAGAATGCTGTTTGGTTTGAATGATGCAGCTGTAATTTCTTTCTTTAAATTCTTTCTGGAGACGTTGAATAGCTTGTCCAGGTGTGTTTTATTAAGGTTGAAGATAAAAATTGAGGGAATGTTTATCTTGGTGGGGGGGGTTCATTTACATGACATCAGTGTTTTGGGGGACTGAAAACACAGAGCAAGTTTTTGAAAATGAAATTATCATCTAAACTACAAAAAACACGAATTTCTGGAAATGGTGACATTTTTATGCATATTACATGTTCAGTCTGTAGGAATGCATATATGCGTAGCATTTCTTTACAAATTGACATCGCCAACTACGAGGCTGACCTGCATACTACAGCATTTTAGTCATTTTTGAAGGTCCATGTTGATGGGAATCATTTTGAAAACATTGTTATCTGTATGCAAAACTAAAAAAAAAATGCATTTTTAGTTCAGTCGCTGTTGTGTAAATGTACTGTAAGCAGCCAGATTTGCCCACCCCTGCTTTAAAATGTTTGCACCATTAATCCGAATGTTATTATTCAAATAGCTAGCCATAAACAAGTTGATAACTTCACCTGTTGAGATATTCTGAGCTTGCAGCCCAACTCTGCTGAAAGTCCAGCATCTACAGTGGGTACGGAAAGTATTCAGACCCCCTTAAATTTTTCACTCTTTGTTATATATGAGGAAACAAAATTAACAAATGATTTTAGCAAATGGCTGCAATATAACAGAGCGTGAAAAATTGAAGGGGGTCTGAATACTTTCCGTACCCACTGTATTAGTTGTTCTCACTTTGTCTCGTGTCGTCCTGACAGCTGTGTGCAACAGTATCCAGCATCCCGTCACAAAGGAAATTCTCTTTGAGTTTTTGGACCGGTGCGCCCAGGCGCAGTCCCGCAAACACCCAGTCGACTCTAAGCTCATGCCACCGCCTCCACCAAAGAGAGCGAACCTCACCGTCCCGCAGTAGCGCAGTGCCGCCAGAGCAGAATGCAAGCAGTTTGATTCTTTTTTTTTTTATTCCCAAAATGTTCAGCAGCTCTGCACACCGCAAGAGAAGAGACTTCTGGAGAACATTTTGCTTTTTGGCCTCACTTTGGCTTCTATTCTTGAAGTTGTTGATGATCTATTTAAAGACACTGCTATGAGAGCTTGTTTGAACATTGAGTGCTGAGGTGCATTCTTATTTAAAAGAATAAAAATAAAAATGAATTGCATTGTTTTCTTTTTTTATGTTTTGTATTTGTTACGGTTCGCTTCACCTCTCTGTTTGTTTTTCAGTTGCTTTTTTACTAAACAGAACAGTGTGGTGTGCTGTCTAAACTGTCTAGATTTAGACCTAACCATGAAACACTGAAACAAGTCCCGTGGAATTTCACCAGATCTGGACTAATCTAAACACTGATAGGCGGTGTGCGTCATATGATGGTGTTTGTTAGGTTAGAGTGTTTTGTATGTCATTATGCTGATTTGAAAATGTTGCCCCAACCCTTTTTTCTCAGGTTTTGTTTCTTAAAAAATGCCAGGTGTATTTAAGTTTTCCTGGATCTTTTGGCTCAATGTTTTTTTTGGGGGGGGGGAATGAAAGCAATAATTCCAAAATAAAGATTGCCAGCTATTCCACACATGCCTTCACATTCAATACATGATCATTTTAGCTGAAGAACTTTGTCTAAATTTGATTTTGGGATAGGCCTAAATCGGTGTTTTTGTCATTTATAAGGATGCGTGAACATTTCGTCAGTTGTCACTCGTAATTGAAGTGTCGCAGCTGAAGTTAATGGCGTTCTTTATTGCTCTCACATTTCTCATCTGGTGTTTACAATATTGAAAGCTGGTGTGCAAAGAGCAGATCCATTCGTCTGAGAAGAGTTGACATTATTGCTGTCTCCTGAGGAGTGAGTCACACCTGACATTCATGTCCTCCTTTCATCTGGAATTGTTTCCTCGTAAGACAAATGAAGGCCAAAGTCCCTGAAATGTGACACTATGAGGCTGCGTTGAGCTCATCTGCATGCTGAAGTGATTAGACCTTGATTGCATCCCATATTGCACTTCGTATGGGTTTATGATGCCTCAGAACGCTCATAGAGTTGATTGAGAGACATACAGAGAGATGAGAACCGAGAACAGAAGAAGACAAGCTTCATATAGCATTTGAGTGATGCTGAATAATGCAGAGTATAGACATTCATGAAACTGACCCTATTAATAAATGTCTCTGGTCTTATGCATTAATGTTATTCAAAGGGGAAAATGTGTTCAAATGTGTCCTTGTTATATATAAGTAATATTAATTAACAACATGTACTTACTGTAGCGTTAGGGTTTGGTTTAAGGTTAGTAGATACTTTAAATTTCTGCACAATTTACTCATTCATTACTATAGTAAGTGCATATGCAATGACATTGTGAAATAGTGTTAGCGTTATTGTTACCCAACAGCCAAATATCTATTTAGACATTGGTTTAGGTTGCTGTTGTAGGTTATACAGCCTTTCTAAAATCTTGACAATTATGAATTGAAGTCATTTGATACTGGTTAATAAAAGGGACAGCAATAATAGCAAATAACAATAGATTTGAAAAAGCATCATCAGCACTGGATTATGTGGAGAAGCCCTTCTGGCTAAACCTGACCTTTAGTCATGTGACACATCTTTGAAAAATGAAAAACTTAAACCAAATCTGATATAAAATGCTATACTTTCAGACTGTGTCAGTGATAATGCAAAACCTTTTTTCTCATCAAATCAAAGCAAATTTTCAGAAGGAATTCTAATTACATTTCACAAAATAATTTGGGAATACAAAAAAGCTACTAACAAATAAAGTGGTTCAACAAGAGTTTCAACAAATTTGGATCTTAAGACATTTCTATTGAACAAGAAATACCAAAATCATGTCGTTGTGTGCTTATTTCATTCACATGTGTGAGTGCAAATAGATGTTCAGGAGCCTGAGGTTGCAACTTTCAAAGACTTACAGCAAACTCCCACACCACAACAACAACTGAAAAACAAATATCTGCAGCCAGTGACTTTACACGCCAGCAGACTAGAAAAAGGTGAACCTGTGCTCGCAGGCAAGCATCTCAAAGAGGAGTTTGCAGTGTGACATTTAACTCAACTCTTATTTTTAACTTTTATTTATTATTATTATTATATTTCAAAAATGTATTTGGGAACAATTTAAATTTAATACAAGCTTTGACAAATATTAAACAGAATGCTGGCCAACTGCTGACTCTTTTGCTCTTCAATGATACAGTATGTTAAAACTGCATGGGCTCAGATCATGTACACAGTGATTGTTGGGGAACTTCAATTGATGGTCTTTTTCTAAAACAAAAGGAGATTTTTTTTTTTAATGTCCTGCCTTTAAGAGAACATCACCATTCAGTGCCATTATTTGGACTCAAGTCTATTTTTGTCATGTAAAGCTAAAAAAGAAACAGTGTT